ATTAATGGTGTTTGGGTTTTTGTACAATGTTTAAATATCATAAATCATCAACTTCAAATACTTAAGAGTCAATATTGCGTAATGATTGTATTAAATTAATCGTTTGATCGTTTACATCAGCATATAAGGGTCAATAGATTAAAAGGCAAATCGAGTGCATTCAAATAAAGAAAGCTTGCAGTGTATGAGTGCAAGTATTTCCTATGTCATTATGTATAGTTTGATATACAAATAACTCGATTTAGTGTGAATGCTAATAGACACCTATCCACGAGATTCAAGATAACGTGGATGTACGGCCTTCAACATGTTTTTTTTTCTTAACATGAATCATATATTTTATTGTACACTATTGCTGATAACAAATTGCTGAATGTACAGCATTGTACTACGATTACCTGATATATCAGTTATAAGGTATACAGAAGAATATCTAATTGAAGTAAATAGATTTATAGCAATATTATTAATTTTATGTTGCCGGGGTAGATGATTTCTCTCCGATAATGGTTTTTTATATGGTTTTTCATAAAATAAATAAGTAAATCTATCTAGGGAGTTTAAAATCATCCGTTATGATTTAATATTCAGAATAATTTGAATATCTACGGAGTACATTTATAGACAGGTATGTTAACCACAATTTTTTTTGTAGCAGAAGATTAAGTTTGCGCTACAATTGATTTTCCAAATATTAATTAACATATCACTTTCTGAAATCTTTATGTAAATGACACATTCCGTCTAAAAAAGGGTCGCTTACATAACCTGACAGTTAAATGTCAGTACGATCTTTTTGATAAAATTGTAAGGCCAGTATTGCTATACGGCTGTGGAATTTGGGGATTTAATAATATTAGTGCAATTGAAATAGTACATTTGAAGTTTTTTAAACTTTTGTTAACTTTGAAAAAATCAACCCCAAGCTTTATCGTTTATGGAAAGCTAGGCGCTTGATCTATGTCCGTATGGTAACCTTTTGGTCTAACATTGTAAATAGTTCCGATAGGAAATTGACAAGTATTCTGTATAGATATATTTATAAACTCATGGAAGATAGTGGATATACATTTGAATGGTTGATTTGTATAAAAAATATCTTGAATAAATATGGATTTTCAAATATTTGGTTACGTCAGAGTAACTACAGTTTTAATCCAAAATGGTTAAAGTTGAGCATTAAACAGAGAATATTTGACCAATTTCAGCAGACTTGCAAATCAGGAATGGAAAACTCTCCAAAAGCATTATGTTATAAACTATTTAAAGAAAACTTTGAATTTTGGGAATATTTAGACTTATAACCTTATAAAGATAACATAACGTTATGTAGGTTTAGAACTGGAAATCACCGGATACCTATAGAAACCGGTAGATGGCTTGGAATTGTTAGACATGAAAGGTATTGTGTAATGTTTTGAAATTCGGCACATTACATATTTCAACAAATATTCCAGTATTGTAAGTTGGAAGTATGTTCTCCAGGTTGATTATCAATCTCTCATCCTTTTTGTTCGTTTTGTACAAACTTGTCATGCGCAGAATCTGTGTGCTAGTATATGTAAAATATCTTTCTTTGTTCCATTAACTTGGATTGATAAGAAATAAAGAATCTGAATCTGAGTCTTTCCGAAGCAAGTAGTAAATCAAAATTTAATTAAGCTTTCAATACTCAGTACACGTCTAAGAGATGTATTGTATAAAGCATTCATAAACATTTAAGGAAAACATGCCAAATTTAATACCAAATTATAATATCGACAAGACGTAGAATCGTTAGTGTCAATAACGACATTTACAGCAATATATATTTAGTTATGTTTTAAATTATTGGTAACAAATTCCATGATAGTACACGTACTTAAAAAAATATTATTTACAGCGTTTAACTGATAACCTTTTGGAATAAAATAAACACAATTAGATGTTGTATGATTGGAAAATGGTATAGCTTCCCCCTTCTCAAATGATGTGATTGTAACCCTATAGAAGATCAGAATATTTGGTAATTGGACTATGTAAAAGGTGTAAAATGAAGAAAAAAAAACAAAAAGATGCACCAAATAGCACGAAGACAGCACACAATTGTTTAATTGTTTGAAATTGTTAAAAACAGTTTTGCATGGCAAAAAAGAAAGAATCATCGTGAATGAAGTACGTCAATAAAAAGAATATGTATCAGCTTCGCGCAGTGAAAGCTATATTCGTTGATTTGATTTGATTTTTGGTGTTTTAACGCCACTTTTAAGCACCGCTTTTGGGCTATTTCGTGGCGGCCAGTTTTTATTGTTGGAGGAAGCCGGAGTGTCCGGAGAAAACCACCGACTTTCGATAGGAAAACTGACAATCCTAGTCAATTAAGATTGGTGTCGATTGCACCAGTACGAGCGGGGTTCGAACTCATAACCTCAGTGTTGACTGGCTAGTGATTACAGTAGTAACTACTTAGACCACTCGGCCACCAGGGCCCCTATATTCGTTGACAATTTAATTCAAATAAAGACGAACATTCTTCAGACCACAATTTCTGATTTTTATTGACATTTGGACAGTATTATCAATAATTTTTTATTGAGATTAAAATATAAAGGATCAAATTTGAAGGCAAAATCGCCAATTGGCTGACGTGTTCCAGCTATGCGACATGTTGGAAAATACCAAGATGATTAAAAAAAAATTAGTTCACCTGCCCAAATTTTCCATGCTAGTAGGAAAACATGATTTCTTTATCAGTTGTACTTGAAATTCTCTTAGTTCGGTAAGTTGTGTCTAATTCTTCTTTATTAGCTTTTGTACTTCGTACAGTTTTGATCTGTACCACTCGTTTGTCAGTTCTATATATTGTACTACACCAACTACACCACTGTCTCCGATAAGGGGATGGTTGAGAGCTCGCAAACATGTTTGACTCCGCCATTGTACTCTATGTGCCCGTCCCAATATAGGAGCTATTAATTTGGTTGTTATCGATGAATGGTGTCTGTCATATTTGTTTTTAGATTATTGTTATTATATAAATCATGCTGATGGTTTTGTGATTTGAATATTCTCTTACATTTTATCATGTCTAGGTCTTTTATAGCTGATTATACAATATGGGTTTTGCTCGTTCTTGAAAGCCGTCGGTGACCTATCGTTACATACATCCACGTCATTTGGTTTCTGGTTGATATTTGTCTCCTTGGCAATCGGACCACATATTCTAATTCTTATAATACTTTTGGTTCTTGTGTATGATGGTTTTGAAGCGGTCGAAGGGGAAATTTAAAATTATAGGGAATATTTGTGGCTTTTGTGTTATACATGTTATATTCCATTTAAAATTGTATTTCTAAGGAAAGAGAATATGGTAGGAATAGTTTTGAATAGAGTAAAGTTTGTTTGTTACTAGTATATTTGTACATTAATCATTTTACAAGTAACAGAAAACGCAAAAATTGCATGAAAATGAAGAGTAAACAGAACTTTCCGCTTTTAAATTAACATGAATCTTGAACAATAAAAAAGAAATGTAAAAAGTTACTTTTGGATGATCAGGTATTAGCTCATTATTAAAATCTTATTTTTCGTCTGTGTTTGGGGGGGGGGGGGGATATTTTGTTTTGTAATCTTTTGTAATTTTTTGTGCTGTTAAAGGTCAAGGAATACCACTTTCAAAAATAAAGATGCTGTAGTAATTTTTTTTATGTTTATCTTTAAAACGAAGATGGCTGTATAATGGTTTGTGTTTTGTATTTAATAAATTTGAACAGCTGGAGATTTTTTTGTAACTTATTTTCTTAATTTTTTTTTTTAAATGATACAGTATCATTTATTCTTTATGACTTGTTTGGTAATTGTCACAAAATTTGCCTGGAAATTTCAATATAAAAGTAAATTATTTGGCTTGTTAAACATTGTAAATAAGCAAATTGAAGGTACTCCAGGTCACATGGGTGTTCAATAGCAGCTAAAGTGGCTGTAGTTTTGTTACTTCGATAAATGATATTGACAGGCATTTATTGTCATAAATTCCATTCTTACCGATGAACTTTGTTTTTCGAATAATACGTACGTTGAAAGCACTTTTATTCGTGGGTTCATTTTTGTGGTTTTAGTAAAAGTTACATGTTGTTGGGTTCATTTTTCGTGGATTTTAGTTTTCTGTTAAAAAAAGTCGAGTGAAGGATTCGAAGTCTTCAGAAATGTCTTTTTTTAAATATTATTCATTAATTGTTTTATAAAGATTTGTGGACATTGCAATATGAGTTGTTCATTTTCACTTACTTGTTCGTCTTCATAACTGACAACATTCAACAAATTTGTAACAACATAATTGATTTTGGAAATAAGCTAAGTCATCTATGCTTACAAATTGTCCCCATTTGAATTGTTGCACACGTGTAGTCAGAAGTGATGATACTCATTAACCTGAGATCGAATGATCAACAGATTAAAGATCACCAAAGGTGTTAATTGGGTCAAAAACATGTCATTTGAAGAAAACGGTTACATAAACAAATACCATAAAAATACAATGAATTGTAAAATTAATTCTTATGAAAAGCAAGCCCAATATGAAAAATTATTTGTTTCCGTAAGAGAATTATAATGTGATAAAAATAAACTCTTCACCAAAGCTCATCATCACCGGAGAATAAAAAGGTTAAAAGCCGTACAGTAAAGTTTCTTTAAGATTAAATGGGTAAAATCCTGACTCGTATATACAGTTTACAGTGCGATTGCCGATATTCAATGTGTTCTCTAGATTAAATGCCCGTAACCATGTAGTCAAACCTGTATTGGGATCTTTCCACGTCTTGATTTGGATAACAGTTGTTATCTTTCGATGGACTCTTAAATTCGTAGATAAAGCCATCTACGAAAACCACGAACATAAGTACCCCACGAATAAAAGTACTTTCACAGTATTAAAAATATATAATTTGGCATTTCTGTGACATTACAAGTATTTTAGCATTTAACATGTGTAAATAGTGTTTTCATTTCAATTTTTACAGAATTGTAGACAATGACTACAGATACTACAGTATGTGGTGTATGTTATCGTCGCCATTTAAATACATTGCCCACGAACTGGTGTGTAGAGTGTGAGGAAGCATTGTGCTCTGACTGTAAAGAGCACCATATTGCATCAAAGGCAACAAGTATTCACAAGATCATTCAAATATCAGAATACCAATCGTTACCTTCTTTCGTAACCGACATTAATCAATTATGCGTTTATCACAATCAGAAGTACCAACTCCACTGTGTCAAGCATGAATGCGCAATATGCAACAAGTGTACAAAGGAGCATGGGAAATGTGGTGAATTAATTTCTCTGGAAGAATTGGTAACAGATATTAAGACATCAGAGAAGTTTTCAGACCTAGAGGACAGTCTTACTGATATCTTGGAAAATTTCCAAAAACACCGAAAAGATAGAGAATTTAATATAACAAGTATCAAAGACCAAAGGAAGACAATAACAGAAGAACTAAGACACTTAACAAGTCGGGTGGTCCAGTATTTTGAAAAACTGGAAGACGAATTCATTAAAGAACTAGATAAAAATGAACGGAATTGTTGTAAAAGTATTTCTTCAGTTATCTCTTGGCTTTATGATAAAGAACAGGAGATTCACCAAATGATTTCTGAAACCCAGAACATCAAAAGATATGCATCAGATCTGCAGACATTTCTTTGTATGAAAGAAATTCAGACGAAGACCAGCGAAAACGAGGCAAGTCTTCGGACTATGTTGGGAAATAAGAGTCTTGAAAAAATTATTATAGAAAGTACATTCGATTCGCAGGTACATGATATCCTGACTCTTAAGAACTTTGGTTCAATAACACTTAAGAACATTCCGTCTTCTAACATTGACATATATAGAAGGAAAGATAGACAAGCTCAAATAATGGTTCCCAAACCAGAAACATCAGTAAACAGCATCAAATATGAATTTAAACAAAAAATAAAAACATCTTGTAGGAACCCTTATGGTTGTTCCGTCACTTCAAGAGGTGAATTTCTTTTCTCAAATTACGACAAAAATAATGAAAATGTATTAGTTATGAATATTGCTAGTGAAGTGGAATATGCAATCCCGCTTTTAAAGCCGTATAGTTCATTTGATGTTGTTTATTTAGGCAACACTACATGTGCTGTATCGACTGGATACTCAGATGAATATCGTGGTATCAGTATTGTTAATCTCAATTCCAGGAAAGTAACAAAATTTATTAACTTACCTGATGATACCTTTGGCATAACGGTTCGTCATTGATATGCTGTATAGAAGAAAAAGATTTACATGTGATAGCATGTACAAACTACAGCATAACCACTATCCCGAACACTGCCTCAACCAAGTATTCCTACGTCTCAACTCATGCTGGTAACATTTTCTTTACGAATCCGACGAAAAACATTGTAACCTGCTGTTTGTATAGTGGAGCACTGGTGTGGGAGATGAAAGATGAAAATATTCTACAAAATCCAAGGGGAATAACCGTAGACGACAACGGGAAAGTTTTTGTTGTAGGACGAAATTCATGTAATGTGGTGGTCATATCTCATGATGGAAAACAATGCAAAGAAATATTGACGCACAAAGATGGTCTTGATAGGCTTTGACACAGTGAGGAATCAGCTGATAGTGACAAATAAAGAGCATTTCACTAATGTTTATAATATTTATTAATTACATTACACAGTAATTATCAACTTTTATCTACTTAGGTTGTATATTTATTTTATGTGTACATAGACAAGATCATTTTTGTTTTTTGAAAAAAAAAAAGGGAAAATCAACAAAAACAAGCACATTTGTTTGGCAAACTCTGTCCTTTGAAAAGATTTTATTGTATCTTATTCATCTGTACTTTTAGCTGTAAATAATTATAAAACTTTCAAATATATCATTTCCATGATTTCATCATCATTACCTTTCTGGGCAACCCCATGCTTCATAAGTTTATGTTTTGTTATTTTCAATGACTTCTCTGATGTTAAATTTAAGTCACAATATTTTGTTTTAAAATCATATACTATTATTTTGTATGACTTTGTGATTAAAGGAACAGACGGATTGGTGTTTTCCTCAAGTGGCAAATATAACATGCTTGATGAACAAAATTATAAAAGGGAATTTTGCTTATACGTCAATGTATCAATTATCCGACATCAAAATAGAGATATGTACAAAAAGAGAAGGAAAGGTGATCTAATGGATGTTTTAGAAAAAAATCTTATAAGAAAAAAAAAGAGATTTTTTACATTTATTACGGTTCTAAAGGTACAGTATTATTTTCGTGCGCACAAAACGTGAATCTTGAATTACCTTCTTCACTTCAGCTCCATACAAAAGGTGTTGAAAGATAAACATATACAACGTTCGGGAACAAAAAACAAAAGGATAACAGTCATTTGGTACACCAAAAAAGATCAAAATGATCGAAATGTTGGATTGCCTTATAGTAAGAGGGCACAAAAATAAATATCAATAACACATTTGAAATGGGGAAGTCCTCGTATGAATTATTTCTGTCATGCAAACTGACGTCTATGAGAATAACAACTACAAAAAATAAGGCAATATAAGGTCATTACTGACATAAAAACATTACCGTTTTTAGAAGATATCGTTTATTAAAATGGATAAACTGCATACATACATCTATCTGAATTTAAAATGATTAATGGGTTATTCAGCCATGAAACATACTCTCATAATCAATCACTTCATCATTGAAATATAAAGATGACCCATCTCAAACATACGGCAGTGAACGTTCGACATATGTTTTTGCCATATGCAAATTCTAGTTGAAAGCGTAAGTACCATTAGGCTCAGTGAAAAAAGGTAAAAAATAAATCCAAAATGAGGTTTGGTGTATATTTAATGAGACAGCTCGCAACGACACTAGAGACACACAGATGTCAACATTCGTTGAAAAACAACAAACAAGTGTTTGCACATGCGTCTCGAAATTTTGTGAATAATCTAACAGTGACGGTATAATTATTATTTAATCCTTGACAGATTTTTTTTCGGTACGATTAAAGGCAGGAACTGGCACCATGGTTACTTATGACAGTCACATTAAACTAAAGAGGGGTTAAACTACTCCGCCCCTTTTAAACTTGAGCAGTTGAATAACGAATGCAACAAAGAAGTCATCCTAATCCGTAAGGTTTCAACCTTTTGCTTCTAATGATACTTCATTTAGAAACGTCATGAACAGTACAGGAACAGAATAATAAAAAAAAAAAAAAAACAATAAAAGTAAGGTTCCGTTGTTTTGGGTTTTGTCACTCCACTTAAATAGACTGCATACCAAAGGAATATTCAAATTAATAAGTCAAAGAAAAACTACAAGAATATATCAACAACGTAAAATGACGAGAAGACTAAGCAGCACTTACCAGATCAACACCTTTTGTTGATCACAGTTTCTCAAGAAGGGTTGGAAGATCTTGCTTCATATGTGCTTCCGTTTTGGTTTTCGTGCTAGGTAAAATTTGGGGATATCAAAATCGAGACAAAGAGAGACTTAGTTTTCTCTTTTGGCTTCGACCATTGGACTGTATCCTTGGTCAACTGTGATACAGATATTCCATAACTGTCAATCTAACAAGTCATAATGGCGTCCTTAAAAATATATAAGGAATGGCTTTTGCTTTACCAATTGAAAATCTTGGTTCAAAAGCCTCTTTGAAGCAGTCTGTTTGTATCCAGCATTTTTGATGAACACTCCCTTCTTTTCCATTCGGATCTTGTTCTATTTCCACGGTTAATATAAAAAAGAAGCTGTGGTATGATTGCCAATGAGAGAACTTTTCACAAGAGACCAAATGACACAGAGATTTACAGCTATAGGTCACCGTACGGCCTTCAACAATGAGCAAAGCCTATACCGCATAGCCAGCTATAAAAGGCCTAAAAACTATTCAAACGAGAAAACTAACAGCCTATTTATGTACAGACAGACACATACATACAGAATGTGGCGGAATAAAACATATGAGCGGGATCCCAATCCTCCCCTAACCTGGAGATAAAGAGGACTTAGTTTTTTGCTTTGGCTTCGACTATTGGATCATATCCTTGGTCAACTGTGATAATACTATATTATTTAATACGTTTAACACAAATATATGATATGTCTGTATACTTTTGACTAATTGTAAGTGGTTGGTTAAAAACAAAAAGATGTTATCAAAGATCCAAGGTTTATAATTTGGTACGCCAGACGCGCGTTTCGTCTTCATGAGACACATCATTGATTCGAATCAAAACAGTCGAAAGGTCAGTTTGAATACCAAGCTGAGAGCATTAAACCAGCAATTCATAAGAGTTATGCCAAATATGTTCAAATCAGTGTTGTCTTATATTAACTGACATTATCACAAAGTTTTATAGGTTGACGCCTTCAAGCTAGCCGCCACCGCAGAAAACAGTACACCTAGATCTCGCATCTGCATCCTCGTGATCGATATATCAAGTATGGATAAATGCAGCAGTATCAACATATTTGACATCCATACTTGGATACTGGATACTGATATTATCAAAATGCAAGTGTTTCATTACAATCCTATTTTTAATTGGTAATGTATATTTTGATGAGTAGAAAGTCATAATTTTGAAATAAAACAATTTCGCTCCCTTTTTTGTCAACGTTTTCTTTTATTCAAATGATACAAGAGGAGAATGCCACTAAGCTATTACTAATACCTCCGATTCCACTCTAATGGTGACGTGCTTTCACAGAACATTACAACTACAAACAAAAAGGCAATACAATCTTTAACATACATGGAAATAGCACTGTATATTAGGATGACATCGGTAATTGAATTGAATAATCTGCATTTATATACCTGCCTGTAATTAAATAATTTTTGGGTTAGTCAGCCATGAGACATAATTTCATATTCAAAGATCCTATTACTTAAACATAGGGATAACACGTCTCAAACATACGGCAGTAAGCGTTATTGTCGTAATGCAGTTGCAAAAAAGTGGTACATCTACAGATATTACTACCATTGTTCGATACTTTTTGGGTGGATTGTTTGTCACCAAAGGAATCACCAGACCAGTAGTCAGTACTGCGGTACTGGCATGATAAATTTTGATATTAAAAAAGTTCTTAAAATAATTTGAGATTGTCATGATTCAGGAGGATATATCCCTCATACAAAGCTCTGATTCCTTACTCAGCTTTGGCTATAAATTTTGACCTTTGTAATTATAAGCTTTTTCATTCATCTTTTTTTTAATTTTGGATTTTTATACATTTTGACTTCGAGTATCGCTGATAAGACACTTATTGCCGAAATGCGTATATTGTGCAGTAAAGTATATAGGTTAATGATGTAGTGTTTTTGTTAAAGATATCTTTATTTTTTTTTAAGAATTAATAACTTTACGGTATTCTTAAAATGTTTTGTTCATCTTTTCATTTTGCTTTGATTGACTGTGTAATGTAAATATCTAAAAACGAACGAAGACATTTGCAATGGTTAACGACACGAGACTGTGAAAAAAAAATGAAAAAGTAAAGGACTTATTATTTTACGTACAAATGTATTCATAATATGGTTTTCAAATAAAGTCCAATTTTTGTTATGACTCATGAACAATGGAGACATCAATATGTAAAAGTAAAAACGCTACTGGAGTTTAATGATATTGAAAAACAGAAAATGTGCCATGAGCTTGACTGAAAAGTCAAAGTAGGATAATTTTCAACAGCAAATACCATCTTTAGAACATGAAAAATGTGTGGTTTTAGTAATATAGCAAGTAATGAAATGATAGAATATGGAAAGTATATACCATTCCCTCGTATAACATAATGCTTTAATGAAAATTTTCAAAAATTCATCCTAAATCTTGATTACAAATGTATATAAAAAATAAGAATAAGAATATTTTATTTCCAATTAAAGGGCCCTATAAAGAGTTTTTATCACATTACCTTCAAAATCATAAGATTAATCATAAATTGAGAAATAGAAGTACAAATCTCTGCATATGAAAAGTTCTGTGTGTGATCCTTAATATTATATAAAATACTTTAAAAACCAAGAAATAAAATGTAAAGAACAAATAGACTTTAAAGATAGAAATCGATCTGCAGATAATATGTTTGTATTACAAAATTTACAGATAATTATATTAAGAATATTAGGTCATTACGGGCATACTTCTACCAGCTGATAACTTCGGGTGTAGGATCTAACTTTAATGATATTATTAAGTCCTTATATAGTACA